TGGTCTCTATCAACGCAAGAAATCATTGTCTTCGCAGATGTGCCCCTTTACAGGAAAACACGACAAACGCAGCCTCATTCTTGAACTTGTTGGCATTCTCTTCGGAGCCTACGCAGTGCATATCAGCAGGAATCAGTTCGTTTAAAAAGAAAAAAAAACGCCCAGGACCCTGCAAGTCCCGAGAAAATGCAATGGCACCGTTTTGAACGGCTTGAATACTGAATACCTTGGCCGACTCCACACACATGGGGTTCTGACACAAACAATCACCAAAGCTCAGCTCAGTGTCGGTAAGGAATACTCCGGTGTCCTTTCACACATCTCCAGCCCCTTCCGTGTTGACAACTTGTTCATTGGATCTGGGTGTGGGAGCTGCGGTTTGCAAACTCATTCACCGAACACCTCAGGGCACACCGTAAACCTCTAAAAATACATGTAAAAAAACAAACCCAAAAAGATAAGGAACAAACACATCAAACCATTGCCATCACATGTCATCACCCAGAAAATCAGATCTTGGGATTTCTTGGCCCATCTTCTCCAGTCCGCTGGATCCCAACCGGCGGTCGAGACGGTCGGGTCTGGGCGGCCGCGCGGCGCCGCTCCTCTTCCTGTTCGGCCCAAAACGGACGCGACGAACGTAGCTCCTGGCCTACTGGGAACAAGAAGCTATGCACGGTGGAGGACATCCCTATTAGGTTTGCTTCTTTAATTCTAGTCTATCTATTTATAATTTTGTATATCCATTATTTGTTGGAGGCCATCACTACTAGGAACAAGAAGCTACTAGTAACAAGGGCATCGCTACAAGTAGCAAAAACGCTACAAACCTAGCTCCTTTCAAAACGGACGCTTCGGCGGTCGCCGGCGGTCGGGGCGGACGGCGGCGTGGCGTCGGGCTGGCGGGCTGCGATGAGCTGAGGGAAGGAGGTGTGGATCTGCCAGAGTGTTTTTTGGCGGGGTCTCACACAGCCTCTCAGGTGCCTGGTCGGTGCTTGAAAAACTGCTCGTTGATCGCATCTCGCCCCTTTTTTTGGAGGCTTGCAGTTGATGGAGAGATCTCGGAAAAAGACTCCCTGAGATCATCCACATTGCCAGTAGCAAACAAACAACAAATCACCAATCACCTTATCACCATTTATCACCTTTAGAAATTCCAGGTACTGTAGTTAAGTAGTCACTGTAGTCCACCGTCCACATTATACCTTCTGAGATGAGAGTCCAAGAAGGAATTGAAGGACATTCATATTCCGCTACAATCCCCCACATTGTTCCCTGTCAACCAATAGCAGAATGCCTTTGAACCCCTTCAACCTTGGCAGTTCCACGCGCTGCCAAGCAGGCCGAGCTGCAAAAAGTCGCTCCATCTTGGCCTTTTCAGCATCCAGCGCCGCCTGGCAGTTTCCCGACAACCAACGATGTGGCAGCGGTTTGCGACAGGGCAGATGGAACAAATCATCCCATGAAAGGATGACCTCAGGTTGGGATCACTTCTAGAATTTCCAAGGGTTCAAAAGGTCGACCCTTGCTCAGTACCTTGGCCTCTCTTGAGTCTTGACCCCCTTCGGAAATCTTCCGAAACACCCTTGCTGCCCCTTGCTCACATCTTCAATCCCTGCCTCTTTGGGATCTTCACACCCCTCTTCGCCCCTGGCCGCGACCCGCCTCCATCTTACGGTCCCCGGCCGCCGTCAGGGCATCCTGTTTCCAGTTCACGAAGACCGTGGTGAGAATCTCAGCGGGGCACGGGGGTGTGAACAACGGCGCGGTGGTCGGTGTTGGAAGCCGCGCGGTCTTTGTTGGGGTGGAGACGACATGAGAAGGTCTACAGTCTATTGATGGGATCCCAAAAACTGACCTCGGCATGTATATTGCTCATAGATGGTGGTTTCGATATCGTCGATGTAGGAACAGGATCGATTCCAATATGTTTCTTGTGACTTGTGACGTCTTACTTCAATATTGCATGTCCACATCCTCAAATAATGAACTGATGGTTCTTGCAAAAAATAGTGTTGGTATCCGGAAGGCTGCCATGGGAAAACCTGCGGACAGCCACTTCTTGTTCCTTCGAGCGAGATGATATTCGTCTGATTTCATACAGCATTGTATAGCTATATATATATTATACAGAAGAGGCCACGGGCCCTCAGTTGGACGAAAAAAACAACCAACCCGGCCCCGACCTCTTCTTAGACCAAGGGTACGTTTGTCTTGCAAAGAAGACATATGAAATCAATATGAACATACTGGCATTGGTTTTGACAGCATCCTGGTCACCAAATCCAGGAAAATCTCGTATACAGTCCGCTCGGGCCCGTCGGCGAATTCGGTGCCAGGAAGACTCCGGCACTCTGCTGACGGAGTCGGCGACACCCCCTTTCCTTGCCGCTGGGGCAGTACCACACCAGAACCTGGGATAGGTGATGGTAGGTTCTGTCCCATGCAGCTGTATGCTCCAAGAACCCCCTCTCCAGCTGTGGAACTCTCAAAGTAAGTGGGATGAATTGAGCAGGTTGATTGAGCAGGTCCATTCCGAACAGCACCATTCATGAGCAAAAAGGTCGAACGTCCACTGGGCTGCCCCACTCCTTTGGCATCACCACGAGCCTTAGGGAGGTGTCAGCACCGACCTCTTGGTGCTTTACGATGTGTTGCTTCTTGGCTCTTGTGGTCTTCTGCCGTACTTGCCGAAAACTGTAACATGTCTTGGAAAACTCAGATTGATTCAAACAAAAACAATTCAATCAAACCGGAACGAATTATCCGAAACACGCCAGCGAGCAAGCCGACGTCGAGAGCCTCTGCGTGGAGACAGTTCTTCCGCAGCTCCGCGGCTTCATCCAGGCCATGCAAGCGAGATGACACGGTGATGACTCATCAAGAGAACAAGCAATTTGAACGGATCAAGGAGGTGAATGGACCGTTATATTTGGGTATACAGTACCAATTGTATTATAAGCATGGACTGACAGCCTGACATGTGCACCGAGCTAAGGCTGTGGCCCACTTGGCCAAAGACATGTGCACCGATGCAAGCTTCTTTTCAGACTGGACGCGGGGCGGCATCGATTTGGGAGACAGCCTATATATATATATATAGTTCAAAAGTGATGCGCATGGCCATGGCTAGGAAGAGAAGATGTAGGAACCACAATGATGCAAAAAATTGCTGAAACCGTTGAATATAAAAAAAACTCAGACAATTTACTTTACTGTTGCAATGACAGCTTCTGTTCATCCTTCACTACTGTATACAAAATAAAATATATAGTACGTAAGATTAAACATGTGTCGACACAGCTCATAAACGGACCCCAGCTCATACCCCACCCATTCGTGTCGACACACGTGTCGACACGCGCTCGGGGCCGCCATCGCCCGATTGCAGCGGTGAAGAGTCGGAGCGAGGCGCGCCTCGGCCCGCTTCAAGGCCCACTTGGACCAAACCTGCAAGACGCGACGCCGCGATCCATGGCGATTGGGACGAGGCGAGGCTTTTGTGGCAAGGCGGTTGGTAGAACTGAAATCTATGAGCTTTTTGAAGAATCCAAAGGATTAGAAGTGTCCCAATGACATTTGCAGGCATGGATGGTTGGGAGGGGTGCATGAGCAACTGGACCAGCCATTCAGAGTCACCAACCGAGGCTCCACGTATGGCAGAAGTCTTGCCCATGTCCCATGCAAATCCGCCCATGTGTCGGTCGGCCTGGTAGACCTGCATCTTGAGCCCTGCTTGATCTCCCAGCATCCATTTCTTAGCCACCAGTCCCACCTCGGTCCGCAGGATCCGCAGGCGGATCCTGTGGGTGTGTGTGAGTGAGGCATAGTTCGCCCCAAGCACGCAAAGGTGCTCTGGGGTGGAAGAAGCGGGCATGGCACAGAAGTGGCTTGGCACCAAGTATAACAAATTATGTTTAAATATAGGTATAAATCATCAGATGGCTGTGCGTTAGCTTCAGCAAAACGTACAACATCCTTCAAGAAGACTCAGCTTTTCTCGGAGATCACAGAGCTTCACAAGGTGTTTCATCTCATTTCCTCCAAGCTCTGCTTCCGCGGGTTTCCACATGGGACGTTCTTGTTTTGCTCTTCATCCCCCAACAGTCCATGCGTTTGACACACATGCCCCCACGCACCCGCACCCGCTGTGCGGGTCTCGCCAGACATGAGCAGCGCCCTTCAGACATCACAAGCACCCTGGGTCTTTCGTTACATTCTGGAGAGGAGGAGTTTGGCGAAGAAAGTAAGTTCTTTTCTTTTGTAATTGGCTGTTGAAACCCACGATGTGGCGGATCTGCGTGCAGAGAATGCAGTGGTCTTTGGTCACCTCAATCTGATCTGCAGGTGAGTAGGTTGCAAAAAAGATCGTCAAGTAAATAAACACATTTAAAAAAAAAAAAAAAACTAAACACACATAAACAATATATATATACCATAAACACTATATATATAATACAAAATAGAAAAACATCCACCTCCTGCGCCAGATGAGCCCCCCCGGCGCAGTTGTGGGCTGCCTCCACTTTCTGCTTGTGTGCATCCAAGTGCTTCTGGAGCGGGTGCTGTCTGGTTCACTGGACTGCGAGACGGGTTCAACAAGAAAGGTTCTCCCTGTCTCAGGGAGCCACAATAAAGAATGGTCGGTTTATCAAATAATATCAAATAATTAACATTTCGGGACCCAGAAGATTAATGGCTCGCAATAGTTAATTTCAGTTGGGCTGGTTGAAAGGGGCGGCCAGGTGGGCTGTATGCACCTGGTGAGGCAGCTGGAGACGGGGCAAGAATACGAGCACCCCTTTGGGCCGATGCATTAGAACCCTGAGAACTAGCTCAGCGGGTTCCGGCTACATCCGGCCACCTCAAGGACTTTCAATTCCTCTTATCCTTACCCCGATTGGTCACGCTAGCATTGAGCAGCCGAAAGGGTCCTGAAATTAACCCCCTGTTCCAAGATCAGCGGGTGGACGTCAGACCAGCGTCTGCGCGTGGATTTTGCTCCGCGAGGCAGCAGTGTTTGGTGCTACTTGGGGTGGGTCTTGGTGGATTTCCGCAATCCGTAGATGAAGAAGTAGAAGGCACAGCCCATTCCTGAGCGAGCCGGGTGGCCACGTCTGCATGTGGATGTGTAAGAGAAGCCTTCTTTCTTGAGCATATGACATCTACTTGATAGCAGTCCTAGAGCCTGTGGTACATCGCTTAGACTCTCGACGTGTCATCAGAGCGCTTGATGTTGAAAGGATGCTTACTAAGATGATTTTAAAAAAAGAAAAAAAACTTCATATGGTAAGGCCAGAATCCTTGATAATATTTAAAAAAAAGAAAAAGTCGAAAAAAAAATAGATCTAAAAAAAACGACAAAAAACGTCAACTGTAAAAGTCAAAGTTAAAAAAGGTCAAATTGAAAAGTCAAAAACAAAAATGTTAAAAAAAAAAAAAAAACGTGAAAAAAAGTAAACCATAGACCACAGCTCGAAAAAGTAAAAATGAAGAAGTCAAAAAAAAGTCAAATTAAAAAAACAACTCGAACAAGTCAAACAAGTCAAAAAAAAGTCAACAAAAAAGTCAACCACTCGAAAAAGTCAAAAAAATCGAAAAACAAATTTAAAAAAGTCGAACACAAGTTTAAAAGAAAAGGTCGGATCTGGGCAAATTGACTTTTTATTTGACTTTCTGAAACTTTCTGATTTGCCTTTTCTTGACTTTGACTTTTGGGATTGACTTCTTTTTAAGCAGGCTCTTTCCAATGAAAGTTGTTTATAATACTAAGAGGTGACATTCGACGTGGCGGTGATGATGCTGCACGTTTCCCCACTTCATGCATAGCTTCTCACTGGTTCGCTTGTAAGAATCGCAAAACATCAAGCTCTTTGGATTGGAGGCCAGTGAAAAATGGCAGTTAAGGTCAGTTGGTCTAATATACAATGTCTGAAAGAGCTAGTGTCTTGCTGAAAGCATGCCCACCCAAACACACTGGACACGCTCACTTCGCACAAGCATCCAAATCCTTTGGTGGGATCGGTGAGGCACGTGCCAGCCGCCGAGACCCAGCCCACGAGAGCCTCAGTCCGCTGCTAGGTGGAACTAATGGTACATTAATGTAAATTATGCGACTATGCTAATATAGACAATTTGCATAAAGCATACAAAAGACATGTCGAAACCACATGAAACCACCAAGCATTACCTAGGGACCTGCGCAAACATGGAAACTGCAGTTGGCCTTGCTTGCTTTGACACACGACAAGCAGGTCTGGCACACTTTCTCTTGTGGGTGGATATTTGACGTGAAAACTTCCGGCAAATTTGCATATATTCAGGGTGGCCCCCCTGTCAACCCAATCACGTTTGGGTTTGGGTATCAAAATCCTATTATATAAATCCTGTGTTTGTCACTTGGAGAGTACTTCTCCCGTCATCACAGTGCCAATCCGATCACAACCATTCATGAACTGACCCAGTCCAATAGTTGAAAAACTGAATGACGAACGGAGTCATTCGGGACGCTCGCATTTGACCTTGGTCGTGATTGGTTGGAAGCCACTGCTTGTGAGTCATTCGGCTGATCAAGTCGATGGATGTTAAAGAGGTAGGCCGCTTTTGCGCAACATTATAAATGCCGGTTGATGATACCGATACCTGGAGGGAAAGGGATAGATGGATTGGTTCCACCTCGTTTCCTGGTTGCTGTTCTTTCTAATGCATCGACCATTCGAAAGCTGGATCGGCTGTAGTAACCACCTGTGACCACCCTGGGCCTCCCTGGCATCGCTGCCCTTCAATCGGAGCAAATCCTTCGGTGCCACCTTGGGAGAATCATGAATCATCTCTGACTCCTGACGCCCTCTCTCTGTGTGTGCATGGTTCGAGGGTGGCTGGATCCGTGGAGGGGTCATTCCATTCCCCACGAGTCGCACAAGTCAAATCGACCAAATCTCTCTCGTCCCACCGATCGGACGGAGATGGGGAGAAGTGGCCGACCCCGACACCATCGGGTTGCATTTGGAACCAAACGGGCCGACCCAAACCGCAGATTTCGTCCAAGTTCAACCGGGCGTCCATGGACATGGGAAAAGAAAACGCCCCCAATGCCCATGTCCATGTGACGATCTTCCATTTTGAGCCGCCCCATGCTGTGTGACCGAGAACATGCTCAGAGGGGATTTATATTGTTCCAACCCTTGGCGCCCTACTTCCAGGTGATACAAAGGTTGCCCTATTCGGTAGTATTCCGACGATTAGGATTGTTCAGGCAGAATCCCAGGTTGGGAGTGTTGATCCAAGGTTGATGAGTCGAATAGTTTGCTTGCTATGTTTGTTGTCGCTCTTGAACTTCTTCTACAAAAAAGTTGCATTCCTGGCCTCGTCTTCATCATGTTCACTATGAAGTCCCCGCTTACCCATTTCTTCCACCTGGGCCTTCCGACCACAGCGGGCAAGACGGCCTGAGTGGGCGTCGTTGGGCCACGGCGTCAGATGCGCGCGTGTTGGCCGACTGCCCCATCTCTCCGATGGGTCCCATGCGTCCACTCAGGATTTAAATCACACATAAACCAATAGTCGAACACCAACTCTCTGACTGCGTGATGATGTTATCCTCAAAAGTGGTGCCATGGGCACAAAAGTCCAAAGGTTTTGCATGTTTTGCTGTTCTTTAGAAAAAAACAAAATATATACGTTCTGATGATGCTCCATCTTCCTGCCACTGTCGCCCAGGGGCTGCAAGCACCGTCGAGGAGAGCACTGCCTTGCACATCAGAATAAGATTCCAAAGGGTTGGCTGTAATGTAATGTTATGGCTATGGAATGTAATGCATATATGTACTGCAATGTAACATAATGATCTCATTCTTTTGCATGCGCATATGCCTCTGTGCATTTCATGTGAAGGCCCCATGAGCGGCTATAGCGACAAAGCTGGGACTTGTGGGGGTGAACAGCAAAGTCATTAATTTTGCTTTACTCTTGTCCCATTTTGTGGCCTTTCTATCCAGTGGACACAGACTTGAAAATAAGATAGAATAAGTACCAGCCCTCCGTGAGAGTTGTTGACAGGAAAAGAACCGTTCTTTGTTTCAATTGGTCGGTTTCATGTCATGAAAAATTGGTGACAGAACATGGTGTCCGTCAGTCCTGCTCCACATGATCTATATTCCGGCCTCTTTTCGGTGCCGCCGGCCTCGGACGGCCGACCGCGTCGAGAGACGGTGAAAGCACCCGGCCTTGGGCGTTGGCTCCAGGAGGGTGGCGATCATCGGGAAACCCAAGCACATCGTCACCAGTCCACAGACCAGGCCCATGAGCCTTGGCGTGGTTTCTTCGACGTACCGTACCAGGCGATAAAAGAAGTACGTGACATGGTCACAGCTTTCTTCGCTTTCTTTGGTGTTGGTGAAAGAGTGCACGAAAGAGACGTGCCCTCATCCGAATCTGGAACAAACACATATTTCTCTACACGACAGGTGGTTTCCCTCAAAACAAGGGGCTGTGATGGTGATTCCAAGTTACACCGTAGCACACCACTATGCCACGCCACCAAATAGACCAGAAACCGGGTCACTTCAGGCTCTCTCCGACTCTAACCGCGGTCGTGGAGGCGTCGAGGCGTCATGCCTGTGGATCCCGAAAAACAGGGATCACAGAGAGACTCCTTAGAGGCTTGGCCTATGTAGGAACTGATGTAGATCATCATCACCCAAAACAGCCTCCACCGCCGATGTGTGTTCGTGGCAAGTGTTTGGGGCCGCAACAAGCGGATGTAGATAGGAAGATCGGACATGTAGGTGACACTTTAGACCGACCCAAGGGCTGACCGTTCCAAACCAAGGTGATCGCTTCTCCAACGAAACAGCCTCCGACAAGCCACGGTGGTCTGACCTGATATCTCCACCCCCAGGTTGCATTGCCATATCTTCTTTGTCTTTGGAAAATCATGTTGTTCCTCGTTATACCGCTATTGAACACTTATATATTACTTTTAGACATATCATGTTCTAGAACGTGTTCAAGTTTCTCTTGGTATTCCAACCACATTATGTCTTGTTGTATCTTGGTGTTGTCGTCCTGTTGACTTTGACAGAGCAACCCAATTGCAGTTTCAGCAACACACATTGCCCCAAGCTCTGGTAAATGGACCTCGTTGGTAGACTAGCCAGCTTTCGCATGTGCCAAGGTAGGTCCACTTCTGCCCAGAGCTTCAGTCAGTTTCCATGCCAAGGGTCGGAGAAGAAGCTCCTTAGGAAGACAGGACATCTGGGGCCTGGGACCCTGAGAAGCAATAGAGTCTGGCGTCGGGCCAACTGAAGGCCATTCATATCCACCAAAAAAGACTCAGACAATGCAGGTGAAAAAAGTCCTGATAGCGCCCAAAGTACAAAAACATGTGGCTCGTTACTCAGAAAAGTTAGATGGTTTTTCAAAACAACGAGAAAAAAAACGATAAAATACAGCACAAGGAACAGAACATGTTACTAAAGAAAAAGCAGCTCTGGCCAATATAACAGAACAAAAAAAACGATGAACAACTACTGGTGACGAAACTGCAAAAAAAATGACTAAACTAACGGATGACATATATATATATATACGTATATATATATATACACGTGTGTGTGTGTTATGGCAAGCTTCAAAGAATTGTTGATGACAAGACTCATAGTTCAATCGTAAAAAGCTAACATTACACCGTTTGAATTTTAAGGAATTATATGTGCGTCTTTTTTTCAAACAAATACATGTGATGGATCTCCAGAAGAAACTACTGAGCAATATAGAAAATCTGTTGCTACATGATAAAGAAAAAGGAAACAATCAAGAATCTCTTTCCAGTGCCTCACACAGAGTGAAAACTCAAAACAAAGATGAGAACAACATTAGCTACAATGAATTGACTGTTGAACCAGGTCTTAAGGGCAAATAGAAAACAATAAAAGCAATATACAATGAATACATGTTATTATGAACGACCCCAAAAAAAAAACAAACAAACAAACATCTGACTACTACTCTAGTTCAACTGAAACTATAGAAACTGTCTGTAGGAACAATACTGTATATATATATATACATATTCTAGTTTCTGCCAACACAGTAAAAATGAAGGATGCAATCATGGACCCTACAGAGGTAAGAGACCCCCAGATCGATTCGTTGAATGTTGAACAAGATTTAGAGACGTACTATTCTATTCTTCTAAGAAGTTTTGAACAGGCTTCAGCATGGCAGACACCCTTCGCATCTGTATGTGTGATATAGTCACCAAAACGTAATGTTTGAGGGGCCGATTCTGACAGCAAATGCAAAGAAAATGGTCACGCTGAAGCCTTCTTAGCACAAGCAAGTAACAACAGTTTTGGCTTGCCATCTCCTTGTTCCAATAACATCTCTTTTGAAGCAAAAAATATATCCCTGAGACAAGGCTTGGCTTGGCTCTCTGTTTATTTGTTTGGCCTTGCTTTCAGGGCCCAAGATCGCCGGAGACTCCGGATCTACTTAGGACCCCAGACTGAAATCAGTCGACTTTTCGCGACGCCATAGCGTGCCGTAGCCCGGTGTGGCATCGGCGACTGCGAGCAAAGCGTTCGCGAGCCCGTGCGTTTATCGCACGACATCAAAACAAGCTCTGGATAAAGGGGAAGGTCTTGCAGAAACTCTTACGCCTGGTGAGGTTCTTGTCCCTACATCATACGAGGCCAGTTTTTCGCATTGCTGCATTGGACGTGTCCACTGTGGGAGAGACGAGATCCGGCATGACATGGAAGCAGAACAAGAACTGGAATCCAAAGGCGCAGGCATGGAAGCAGGCATGGCCCTCAGAGCAGCCAGAGAAGCCCAAGACGAAGAAGGAAGACAAGGAGAAAGACAAGGCCTTTTTCGTGGGATACGATGGCAAAAAAGTGCCTTTGCCAAGTGGACATGTGGCTTCATCGGGATCTACATCCTTAGCTACTACGGGTGCAGCCAATTCCCAGGTCTTGGAAGAGAACCGGAAGTTGAGGGATGTCTTCAAGCTCATCCTCGACAGAGATGCGGGGAAGGAGACTGGAAAGAACCCGACGGACTTGGTGGAGGAGTGCAAGAAGTTGGTGCACAACCCCCGAGAAAGTCTTCGCGAAAGGCAGAGGGAGTTGAACAAAGAGAAGAAGAGCATCAACAAGGCCGAGAAGCTGGAGATTGCCATCAAGGAGAAGGAAGACAGCTTTGTGAAATGGAAGGCGGGATTTCACGAAATGCTGAAAGCAGAAGAAAAGCGCTACGAGGAGGAAGTCAAGGCCTTGAGAGAAGAGCTCAAGCTTGTGGAGGAAGGCCCGGAGATCAACTCCATGGATGCGGACAGCGACGGAGAGCTGATTGCCAAGAATGTGGCAGAGGACCTTTCGCAAGTCAAGGCTCAGATGGACCAGATGGCGACCTACTTCGAGGTGATGGAAAAGCGAAATCAACAGATGGTGCAAGAAATGAATCATCAAGTTCAAAGCTTGGTTGCGGTGATTCGTACATCCCAAAGGCCAGATATGGTGAATCAATCCTCGCCACAATTGATCCGACCACCAGGGCAGAGGCTCGAATCAACTCCAGCAAGGGAGGGGCGATCGCGATCACCGGCTATGAAGAGGCCTATGATCGAGATGGTGTCGGAGGAGCAAGAGTTAAAGACATTCCTGCAGGGATTGCTTGCAAATCTCCGGGAAGAGCACCGCCAACATATCTTGGCCATTGTCGAGTCCGAACCGGAGGAATACTCAACAAAAGAAGCCATCGAGATCTTGGTTCAGCAGGTGATGACACAGGCCAACGGGCAGATGCTTGGCAGTACTCTGGACTCGATGGACTCTCCCAATGCTCTGCCAATGACGATGAGCAGAAATTCGATGTTGCCTTTTGGAGGGAAGGCAAACAGCAGGAAGGTGAGCAAGAAGGGGGAAGTTGTCTCGACGACCCCTGTAGAGGCTGCAGTGGCCAAGACGGGCTTGGAGGTTCCATTGCCGGAGGTGTTGGACGACAAGCTATGAGCACTGCAGAGGTCTCTTTTTTCAAGAAGGGGAGTAACAGTGTTAGGGATGACACTGCTACACATACAATTGCTGGGTGCGCCACTTTTCAAGGCAGCAGCATCAATTGTACGCTAGTTGCTGATGATCCTGAGCCAACTTTGTGTGGTGATGGGGAACTTATCTATCAGAGTGCATCCTGGTTTCAAAGCGGGTGTGCTCATTTGAAGAAGATCCGAGTCGGGACTGCTACGATTCTCTGGTTTGTGGCTGGAGAAACGACTTTTCCAAGTGAGTCCTTTCATGATTTTCTTCGTCTTTTGGTGATCTATGTGTTGGGGGCCATGATTGTCATGGTTTGTGTGTATGAGATAGATGAGATGTGGCAAGTGAGCCGTTGCTTGTGGAAGCATTTGCATGGCAGGCGGATTAGGCCAATCCCGCCTTGTGCTATTTTCACAAGGGCACTTCTTTGCCAAGCTTGGGGGGTTGTGTGCAACTACATGATCCTAGAGTTTGAAGTCCAAGCACCAATGGAGCCTAATGTGATGGAGAGCTCCTTTGGATTTGATGTTCTCATCTGTCTGTGCAGGTACCAGGAGTTTCTTCTTCTACTTCTTGGGCTTTTTTCCGTTTGGAGTGGGAGGTTGGGTGAGATGCTCAAACTTCCTGGTAAAGCTGCACGAGCTGATCGAAGGATCCCACATCGCAAGCGACGTCTTTCGAACAGAAATTTTGTAGCAGTCCTTCTTCTTTGCAACATTTTGAGCTGTGAAGGGGTTGGTCTTGTTAGCCGCATCTGTGAAAGGGATCGTGTAGCCCTCACCATGGGCAATGATGAGACAAAGACGCAATATCCTTTCCGACCTTACGAGGATTTTGCACCAGTAGGCGACCCCAGCCGGTTTGAAGGTTGTGGTAATACCTTTGCTGAAAATGGTTCGGAGGGAAGCAGCGGACAAGGCGAGGTTTCCTTCTTCCAAGTTTCTGATCAGGTTTGCCACGCTCCAGGTGACTGTCGAGCAAATTCAATGCTGATTGACATTTGTCCTTTTGGCGCTGTGCAAAGTTTTGAGCCAATTTTTGGGGAGACCAAAGAGACAAGCTGTTTGGCTCCTGTTTCTGGTGACTTTCGATGCGGAGGAAACACTGCAACTCCGGATTTCTATGATGACAGCCTGGGTGCAACTTTTCTTCCTGAGGAAATTGATGATCACATAGTACTCATGCAAAGACTTTCTGCGGATCTCCAACGCAATCACTTTGCAATGGCGTGTGAAAGAGGGATGCCGCTCAGACCTGCACTTGAGCTGAGCAGGAGACTTCTCACACCAGTATGGATGCAGGAAGGAAGAGATTTGGCATTTGAGTACTTTCGTTCTTCAGAGCAGGGGATCTGGCAGAAGAAAATTCTGGGATGGAAGTTTCTTGATTATGAACAAGAGATTGGGACTCCCTTCAGTATCCAGCTGCTGCCTCGAGGCCTCTGGGCCACACAGCTCATTGGACCCTTCGAAGATGAAGATGTTCTGACGGTGCATTTTGTCGTGGTGACGCCTCAACCAATGATGATGCACCATGCTGACCACCATCGTGGCCCGCATGATGTGGTGGTCATCGCGCTGGAACAAGAGGCATATGCATCGGATAGGTTACCGTTGGTGGTACAACATGATATAGACGGTATCCTTGTGCAGACTGCAGTGAAGTGCCCAATCGCCTGTACACCTATACTGGTTTGTGAGCTTCTTCAGCTGGATGCGAGGTGCCAAGACCCCTCTGAGGTGAGTGTCTATTTCCGAAATGGCAATGTTGAGAGAACTTTTGTGCAGGATGAAAGGATTGGGCTCCCCATGGGAGCCTATGTTCAGCTTAGCACAACCATCCGATCTGACAGATGTGCTGATGTAGTGATCTTCCAGCACCCTCTGCGTGAGCATCAGACCATGATCCTGCCCGGAGATGCACCCCAGGATGATGACTTTAGAGGGCAGACTCACGAGGGAATATCCCTTGCAAGAGGTACATCTGGGAGAAGGGAAGAAGAAGAAGAAGAAACTTCCGTGCTGATGCAAGTTGGTCCGCCTGAGCCTGATCTCGTGGTCAGGTACATTGAAAGCCTTGGGGCCCATGTGCAAGCGGTGGAGATCGCTGCCTGGTTCCATCCACAGGATTATGTGGGAAGGACTGCAAGTCTTGTCAGACGGGCACATTTCTATGCTGGACTTCCGGGTGGACCTTTTG